GGCGCTCCCAACGCGCCATTTTTAGAGCTAGGGAAACGAAATACATACCAAACGATAGAGAATTGATCAAGGAACACGATAGTGAAGGTTTCAAGTCGATATCTCCCACCGTTTTGCCGCAATCGCCGCCGAAAGTTGAAAAAAATATTTTTCCGAAAATTTGACCTTTGACCGGTCAAAAGTAGGTCAAATGTTGACCTAGGACCAAAAAATATACCACCAATCGCGAGATCTCGTTGAGAGCAATCCGTTGGTTTTTTCCGCTAAGCTCTACGACCTTCCGTTTCGAAACGCCAGGGGGGGTCGTAACAACCCCCCCCCCTGGTCGTTCGTGTTATGAGAAATGGCCTGGTCGTGCGAGGGTTAAAAGCGTATTCCGCCGTTACAAGGGCTGCACTGAGTTTTAAATTTAATTAGGATTACACTTACAATGGATGCTTCACAGCTCACTTCACTAAAAACCACATCAATCATTCTACGTTTACGTCGAAATTACGTCGCAACTGTATAAAGCACCAGATGTCAGACTGAAGGACATGTGCCTAGTAGTGTTAACATGTGGTCCTGATTCGCACGGTAGGAAACGGTACGTGGCTCATATAGTCTGTCCGCTTTACGGCCGGGCCGATCATTGCAGTTACAGGTCCATTATACCGTGTAGTATGTCCAGTAATGTCCACTGTTTATCATACGGTCCGTCACTATGGCATACGGTCCGTCAGTAACCACAGCCGTCATATAATATGGTTAAATATGCATTCGTAATCCATCATACGCCGAATTTAAGCTGTTCAACAGCCCGTCTTTTCCAACTTTTCAGTCGTGCAACCAACCATGTCATCTAGGCGCACAGTCGTTCATCTCGTGACGGCAGCGTAGGGTTTCATCCAGCCATCCATCAGGTCAGTCGATCAGACCGCACACTTCTTCAACCGTTCAACCGTGCAGCCACCTAGTCATTCAGCTGTTTTAGCTGTCCAGCCAAACAGTCATACGGCCATCCGATTATCCAGAAGCATGCCTTGTCGCCACACAGTGGTTAAAGGGACCCTCCCACCTTCAAAAAAGTAAATGAATTGGCACGAAAGTGATGTCGCTCGGTTCAGAAAGAGCGAAAACGAATATCTACCAAATTTCATCGAAAAAAATTCACCGGTTTTCAAGATATTAGACTTTTACTTTTGTTTACTTTTTGGGATCTCCGCTGTTCCTAGCGACTTTATTTGAAAGTGCGGCATTTGTTGCGCGCAAAGCAGCATATACCACCGCGTGCTACCAAACGTTTAAGTAAAAGATTTAAAAATCGTTAGATCTCCGCTGACGTCACAAATTCTAAGGGGGCATACCAATGCACTAGCCCCTTAGAATCCGAAAACTGCAAGTTTGAAATTCCATATCTCCGAATTAAAGCATTTGTCGATGTTGTGAGTGCCCAAACCGGTATTTGCAGGCCATGGCCACCAATTTGGCTATCTCAACTCAAAACTAATGTTAAGGTGGGAGTGTCCCTTTAAGCCGTTGAGACATCCAGCCATCAGCCAAAAGCAGCAAAACTTCAGCTATCCATCTACACAGCCGTTCATTCCCTGAGATTCCCGACCATTCTAGTTCATCCGACAGTCAGTACAACTGACCCCCCCCCGGCCACACCCCCCACCCCTTACCCATTCACCCAATAAGTAGCCCAACCAGTCGGTCGCTTCTCTCTTCCTCTCAGCCAGTCAGTCGGTCAGTAGAGTCGTCTCCCCGCCCGTCGCTCGCCGGCCGACCGGTCGCTTCGCTCGCTCGCCTCGGTCGGTCGGCCGGTCGTGTGACCCACGCCAGCCTGACCCCGTCTCGTAACGGTACAGCGCTCCGCTGCCAGTCTGGCCGCGTGCCGCGACGACCTCTGAGCCGTACGGACGGACATCTGAGCCGTATGTTCGAACCTCTGAGCCGTATGTACGGACCTGTGAGCCGGCGCGGCGGTGGCGATGGAGGTGGCGGTGGTAGCGGCGACGATTACAAGAATAGATCGGTTCAAGAGACTTACATACAGTCTTTGGCTCGTTACCTGATGAAAGAATGCAGGAGAGTCGTAAACATGTGCGAGTTTCCTATTCGCATGTATGCGGGTACCACATATAAGCATTCCTATGGTTACCGCACTGCCCCTTCTATCTATTAGCCAGCAGAGCCAAGTGCGTTACCGACACGCCTTTCAGGTGTACGAGGGGGTATCGAAAAGTTCTGATCATCACCACGAATGAGGTGTGATAGAAATTTGATTTTTTTTTTTTACATGATGTTCATTACTCCTTTACAAGTCACCACACACGACCGCAAACTTTTTGCATCGTTTCTTGAGCTGCCTCAGGCGGTCATTGTAGGACCTTCGCACTGTCCCGTAAATCACTGCTCCATCTCATCAATGACGTCATTTCTGTCCTTAAATCACCGGCCATACTGTGGATTCTTCATCTCTCGTAACAATCAAGAGTCAGTTAATACCCGGTCAGAAGAATTTCTTAGATGCGGTATGATTTAATGTCCATATCATGTTCTTTCTTCAATCGCAGCTCAGGACGAATGGGCGGGAGCGCTGTCGGTGCGGATAAAACATCTTTATTGTTTTTTTTTGCGGCAATTCTGCTTGAGGCCATCTCGCAACTTCTTCAAAAGTGTGCAGTGGTGCTTGCTTTCATTATCCGACCATAATCAAGACAGTCGGTAATGGCTATCCTACGTCAGATCCAGAACACTGATAGCATTGACCTTCCATATCAGCTTCTGCATCTTCGCCTTTTAAGAAGGACAGATGTGCCGTGCTTAAACTTCTTGATCATCTTTTTGTCTCTGGATCATGCACATAGACCCAGCATTCGTCACCAGTCATCAAATTATGGAAGATGTCTTCAATTTTCTAAAAAAAGCCTAGTTTTGATTTCGAAGGGCCAAGACGCATTTTTCTCTTGAACAAAGTAGACACACGAACTTCTAAGCGGGCTGACTCCTTTATCGTCTGTAGTTCTTCGCTGATAATATTTTCAGGCACTGCCAGCATTGAGATCTTTCTGTTGCACAATCATCTGAAAGGTCACACGACGATCTGTAAGGATGAGGTCCTCCACTTCCTTCACAGTCACCACCTTGTCAGTCACTGGCAGCCACTCACTTCTTGACTCCCCTGCAAGGGCCATGCAACCAAGTTGAAAATTATTTCTTCATTTTCGGTAAGTGCATGAGATGGGCTTTCCTCGCTATAAACTGATTTCACGTTCTTGATGTATTTTCTCAGTGTGATACCGTTTCAAATGCATTAGTTGGATGACGGTTCGGTCCTCAATGGGCCCAATACTCATCTTTTTTACTTCTAAGTCTCTCCTACATAAGATAAAACCACTTCTCAGGATTCTCTTTGCGGGAACATTGTTCTTAAGAACCAAATATAATATCAACCAAAAATCATCAAAATCGGTCTACATCTTCTATGTGATGATCAGAACTTTCCGATACCCCCTCGTATTCCATTTATTGCGACAATTTTACTAAATGTATGCGTATTACAATGTCTCTTTATTGTCCTCTTTTTGCGTATTGTACTACGTCGTATAGGTTTATGCACATATAATATAATGGTAACTTATTTTCCTAGCTTAACCATGCTTGTATATGTGACGATGTCCTCTTCAGTACAAATTGCACGAATTATCTCATGTGAAAATAATAGGTTACGCTCATAGTTCATGACATTAACCCATTAGAGAAAGTAGCAGCTACTATAGACAAATCGTCAGAGTTAAACAGCGTGCATTAGCTGAGGCTAGCATGGTCATTGGTTAATGGCATGTCACTATGGCGTAAACGAGAGCTCAGGAGTTTGAAATCACTTATCAGGCGCTTTTCCGAATTCTTATTGAGAACTTAGGTCAACAATGCAAATGTGCAGCTGAATAACAGCAATGTTTAACTGAGCCGTGATATAAATGATGCCAATGATCAACCACATTCGAATAACCACGCCCTGTTGTAATAGCAAAGTGTCTTCAATTTTATGTAAATTTTATATAAGACTACGAGAGGCACTGGACTAAAATATCTCTCAAAGTCATTACCAACGTTCTATACAAAGTTGTTGATGTCAAACTCTTCTCAACAGCGATCAATAACCACTGACCAGCCCCGGTTGGCAAATACAGCATAGTCCACACCCAGACACACAAACAGCGATCGTCGGCACGTGTATGGTGATCCGGGTCAACGAACCACAGCCGTGGAGGATCGCCCGGCCCGCCTCCCGTCTGCCGGGGGAGGGGAGGGGAGGGGAGGGAGGAGAGGGGAGGGACGGGAGGAGAGGGGAGGGGAGGGACGAATTCCAGGAGAGCCCCACTGAAACACATCGTAAACACTCGGCCTGAGAACCCAGCCGAGATCGAGGCGGGTTGAAGGCTAGTGGGATTAACCAGTGTGGGCTTCTATACCTTTGATGAATACGGTTCAGAATCTAGGGTGGCGATGGCCGATGGGCAGAAGTTTATGTAGGTTAGATCACAGATTGCCTAGATTCCGAATAGCGTCGTTTGCCACTGGGATAAGCACATGCCATTCTGTAATTATAATTGGTAGGTTATCGACAAAAACCTGCTTATTCCTGTCTCAGTTGGTCTATGCGTTAGGTGATGGTCATTGGTAATTTGAAATTAGCCTCATTCTTGGTATCAGATATGGGCGGAGGACATAGCTTTCCAAATTACACTGCTCCTATTGCAGTTCATGCAATTGACACCGGGCGAGTAATTGTGACGGTTTGTCCCATTTCAGTCCCGTGTCGGACTGCCTGCGATTAACCTAACACTGGCTTGTTCCAGTCAAAGTGCGAACGTGATACCTATGGAAACACTTCAGTGGATTTCGCGGGAAAAGCCCTTTACTTCAATGCGATTGTCAAAATGGCCTATCCTCACTTTGACTTAGTAATTTACCTACTACCGAAATGAAGTAAGACCCTGCAGACAGCTTACCTGTATCTGATAAATCCTCCCAAACGGAAAGCACTCGTCACTTGTATTTCGCGGTCACGGTATTTGAGCGTCACACCCCGTCACATACCCATCAGACCTCGTCACACTCCCGTCACGCGGCGCTCACGAGCCCCACTCTCGGCCAGCACTCGTAAACTGACAACCCTCAGCTGACCCTCAGCCGTGCCGGGCCGTCCGCTGGCTCTACCGGTATCGGTAGAGCTGACAGCCAATCAGAGGAGAGCAGGTGCGACCACACCGGCCCGCGCTCTACGGGAGAGGGGGATGAGGGAACTGGAGAGTGCGGGAGACTCACAGGCCAGATAAAAAAGAATCAACCCTCGTCCGTATTGGTGTTTGCTAGCCGCGAACGGGGCATTCCACGTCAAATCGAACAAAAATCGGCTGTTTTGCACCTTACCATCAGCGATTTCATTTTAAATTTGTGAGCGAGTTCCTGTGTCGCCCCGGACATTACATTGATGTTTTTTGCACATTCTGACCACAGGTCTTCTAAATATAGAGCATCAAATTTTTACAAAATGTTGCATCTTTATATTTTTGAACGACCATAACTTTGGTTGTACTTGTTTGATTTGAATGAAATAAACCTTACTGTTTAGGTAATTTCTTAAGCATTTGTTTAGAATTGCATCGACTTAAATATATGACCTTGAAATGTGCTTAACTCTGTTCTTAAGCACAAAAATTGAATTAGCAAAAAACACGCCTCCTTCGATTTGGCTCATTTTCATGTATTTTATTGCCTTCTTTATTCTTAACAACCTGTGAAAAAATTAGAGTGGGCCATTCATAAGTTGTGAAGAAAATGGCACATATGCAAACGTATGTTAGCACGCGCAGTGGAGGGGGAAGAGTGAATTTCGCCCTACCCCTCCTGTTTTTCGCCAATATCTCATAATATTGATGCGAAATTACTTATGGCTACATGTCCAGAATTGAATTGCACATCTCATCGTGCAAGCAATAAGAAAATCGGTTCACAACTGTTCTAGTAATAGCTCGGTGTAAAGTGAACAACCTGTGGCCGCGGCGACGCGGCGACTCGGCAGCCGGCGCCGACCGCTACGCGCCGCCTGAATTGTAGACTGTGCCGGGACGGGACGGAACGGTTCCGTCTTTACATCGCGCTCCTTACCGCTGATTACGTTCGATTCGCGTCAAATTTTGTGAGAAGACTAAGAAATGTACAGGCAATCTTATGGTGAAAGAATTCTGAAAATAGGTTGGTAAACAATTGAAATATGAACGTGTAAACACAAAATTGTCACTGCTGCGTTTCCCGCGTCGGCCGATCCCGCCTCAGCCGGCGACATGTTACTCTTAGCAGGACTCTAACTGCCATATTTATTATCGGATTAACTAGAAATTCCCCATACATACTCAAAAATGTATGTTCTTTCGTATAGTGAAGATCAAAAGACGTGAATTGCGTGATAATGTTTTCGTTGAATTTATTTCATGATGCATTTCCACACGGCTCAAAATTCACCGCAAAATACCGTTTGCCTGAGACACTTTTACAATGGAACGTGAATGCTTGACTACGATGACTATGCATTTCCATTCTCGCAGAGTTTGGGATATCACTAATCAGCAATCATTCATTTCAGAAAGTGTACACAAGCAAGCATGTCTTGACTCTGTCTTTCAAGGTCACGCGCGGTTGCGTGATGTTGATGCATGAAAACGGCGTTTGCCGCTAAAGTTATGAATGGCCCACTCCAATTTTTTCACAGATGGTTAGGAACATAGTGACGGACATAATATGTAAAAATTACTCAAATCAAAGGTGGCGTGTTTTTTGCTATTTAAATTTTTCTGTTTTAATTCAAGGTCAAATGCATTTCAAGGTCACTTCAATTTAATTTTATAATTAAAAATCAAAGCCTTATCAATTGCCTACAAGACCCTGTTAATATCATTTTGATACCAGAAAAGGAACCAGAGTTATAAACATTTAAAAAAATGATGTGTGGCATTTTTGGCTATATTCGATGACCTATATCTCGGCGATACGTTATCAAATTTCGAAAATATTACACGTAACTCAGTTTTGAACCATGCCCAGTCTGCCTGCAAATTTTCAGAAAAATCGAAGGGGATGACGGATTTCGGTGTTTGATTTGACGTGGAATGCCCCGAACGTAAAAAGGGGGAACCCCTTGACGTCCGGCCCCTGAACGAACTAGAGCTTCGCGGAAAAAAAAAACGAACCTGTTGCCCGTGACGAGAGGAAGCCGGTGATAACCAATTTTAAGAGGTCCTAGGTCATTGCCATTGGTTGACCTTCCTGCAGGTCAGGTCAATGACCCAAAAGTCGAGAAAATCGGGACCTGTCAGAACTTCGTAAAGTAAGGATGTACTGAGGTTTTTCCGGGTGATGATCACAAATATCATGTTCGTTTTGATCACAGATTATGTCTTTATGCATTTAGGCCAGGCCTGGTCATGTCAGGTGACAGGTCAGGTCAACCAGTAGGCGTTCTGCCGGGTATTCATAGTAGGTGCCAACTACCACTGAGAGCTTCGTTACACGTTACGAAGGCACCAAAATTACTTCGTTAATGTTCATATGGCTGCTAAATTCGAAATCAGCCCCCCAAAAAACTAGCATAGAAACATGTAAAACTCGAAAAGGAAACCAATGTCATCAAAGGTCAGTGACCTGATCTGGCCTTCACGTGACCTTGACACCCACCATCACTCAGGGGCCAACATCGGCATGTTGACTGTATAAATGCAGCAAAGACCTTTCATTACTCTTTACAATCATTTGACATGTTTGAACGTTAAAAACCCCAAAAAGACTGCAAACGCGCGGATAAGGTGAGCCGACATACGCCGAGTCGCGATTCCGGCCAAGCAGGTCTCGAGAAATGTGTCACGGGTTTCGGTCAGGCTCATGAAATTTTAAGAGGTGTGAAATTGATGAGCTCGAGGGCAGTAGTGGCGGAACACACTTACAATTAAGGGGGGCACTGCCGACTTTTGGTCCCATTCTTTCTATGCAACGCCCATAGGGCTAATGGTGCCAAAATCAAAGGAGGGCACGGTGCCCCGGTGCCCTCCCCGTTCCGCCGCCTATGCTCGAGGCCCGAGGGTACGAAAAGTTTCGTGGCGATCGGCCGCTTTTGCGCGAGTTATTCACGAACAACCGAGGGCGGGGGGGGGGGGGAGGTCCACTTGACCCCCTTATAAGTGCGAGGGTTAACTAATTTTATGGCGAGTAGGGAAGGGTAAAATCCAGGGTCAATCTACGTGCGAGCAAATCTTTGCAGTTTCTGTTTGCAAAGGACCGGTAATTCATAAACTAAAGATAGCAAAAACTCTAGCTTAGCTTTGCCTAATTGCTAAGTTCACTGAAACTGGCACATGTCTAGCCTCTACAAAAGCTAAGAAGAATGTTTGAAGTTTAATGCCGAAAAATAGTTCCGATACCGAACGTACATTTTTAACAACAATGGTCTGAAACTGAGCAGTAATCGCCACGTAATTTGGATTGTGGACCAATCTTAAATGTACAATACAATATTTATAGGATTGCATTGCATCAAAAATAAAAGGCACTATTTATACTAAATGAATTTCACCGTTTGTAGATAATGTCGTGAAATTTCGAAAATCAAGCGCACATTTTCCAAAAAGTGGTTGTAGCTCTATAGAGTCCCCTTTCCCAAGTCTGCCTCGTTAGGAAAATTGTATTTTGATATTTGCGATTTACTATGTGTCTTCTCCAACACGAAAAGAAGATCCACTAAATGAAGGAGGCTGACTGATTTTCGCATGCTGCTTTGTTCAAATGCGATAGGTAATTAATTTCGTTGATGATGGTGCTATAGGTGATTGATTTTGCCAGTGAAACATTTTTGTTAATATTTATTTATTCACTATGTAAATGTTAGTAATATTTATTTCAATTTTACCTGCATTTGAAGATGATCACACATACCGTGAAAGCGTTATTGTTGGTTTCATTTTTACTCCAAATCAGTGAATCAAAAAATCTAGCTGAAAATGCTCCCGACATATTGTTCGATGAAAACAAAGTACTTCTGTACTTTTTTGACTCCGAATTTCCCATTCCGACACAGAAAAGGCTGATGGTCAAAAAGTTTCTTGAAGATATCGGAAAGAAATCGTGCTTGCAATTCAAAGAAATAGACGCCTACAACAGCAAATGCAGAACCGTTCAAGCCAAGCCAACTCTGTGCATAAGCGGCGTAGATCACAGTAGCAAGTCAGACAGACACGGATATGGTTGTGAAATTCGTTGGCCAAGTGGTCCGAATGGCAAATATGGCAGATGGCTTCCATATACGTACAAGCCCGGCGAGTTTCTGGGATGTTCCTGGCCGGCATCTATGATGTATTTATACTTCATGATGGGGTATGACCCTCCTGTTTATAGACCTGACAGGGACGGGTATATAAGCATCAACCCGTTTGAAATATGGACCATGGATAAAATGACCTCTTCATCGAAATATGCCTGTGGACTTCAGAGTGTAACAGGACGAAAGGAAACTGAAGAAGATTTTGAAAGTCATAAAGTATTGGACAAAGCGTCTGGAGAGAAAAAGCTCCCATTTTATACTTTTAAATCTGTGTTTCACACTGGAACCGCTGGTGACTCCTTGCCCCGTGAGCCAAAGCCAGTTTATGTTACTAAATTTACGATATGGCAGCCATGGCTAGATGCATCGAAATACACAAAGAATTATGAGGCTCGCTACACTCACCACGACGAAGCTATACTTGGCTGGCGGCAGAAATGTGACATTCAAGAAAGAAACGCCTGTGGTGTTGAGTCGACTACATATGAAAGATTTGATCATTGGAGCTCTTGTCCGTCAAACGGATTCATGAGAGGCTGCAAGTGCGTTTGTTCAAGTTATTCGATGCAAGAAATGACGTGCACAAGTTATGACCTTGTGGGTGGTGGCGAAAAGGTGGTGAAAGATGACGACTACAATCCCACAGAGGAGCCAGGCAGGCATATGCCTAGAATGTCTGTTTATACTTATGATCAGCTCGATGCTTTTGGGCGCACAGTATCCTTGGAAGAAGAAATTCAGAAATTCAATGATGATCGCGATGATGCTGAGATTGTGGTAGCCGGATACAAATATTCAAGGCAGCAGGTATTTGGAGATGAATGGGCATACCGGTTCATCTTATTATTGTTGAAGGGCAACACGCCATGTTCTCGCCCTGTTCTACAAATAGACGGACGTGAATATCTCAAAACAGGAGCCGGCCAAACTTTGGGAGATGACAAATACGAAAAATTTATCGTGATGCGTGGATTTGACTGCTTTGGCCTGGTTACCGGCTTCTTTGACCAGAACGGAGATCCATTCTATGAGGCCGATTGGGACGGAACCACTAAAGACACCATGTTCAGGAGAAGGCTTTATTGTTATTCTTCACTGTATTTGGAAGAAACGGAACTCCGCGCCAAAACCCAAAGAGCGAGTTTGTATTTGCAGTATAACTGGGTGCTGGACGCCGAACACCTCGTGCCAAAGGGTCCCTTCAACTTGAAGATGACCGTTTTGGGCAGTGATGACCCATGGTGCGGACTGACAAATTATTGTTCGCCATTTTTCGGCACGGATAAGACCTACGAGCGTGAGTATTGCAGGACTCACCTTCCCCCGCCTACGACAACCAAGGCGCCCACCACCACGGCTAAACCGACAACGACCACCACCACCACAACAACGACGACCACATCTCCGACCACCACCACCTCCGAGAAGACGACCACCAAATCCACTACTGCGAAGTCGACCACAAAGTCTACAACCACAACCACCACGACGACAACGACAACAACGCCTACAACTACTACTACTACAACGACGACGACGACGACTACAACCACCAAGCCCACCACCACCACCACAACAACTACTACGACCACTACGACAGTAAAGTCGTTGCCGCCCTTGACACGGTCAACTAGATTTACACGCAATCCCAATGCTACCCGCACTGCTCCAAGTGATAAAACAGCAGTTTTTCCTCCGGTTGTTACTGTCGAAATGAAACCACCTGAAACAACACTTTCAACCCCATTCACCACCTCTCCAACTACCACAAGAGCGCCAACAACCACCACTACCCATCCTACCTCCCCTACAACAACATTCGCCCCGCCACAATGGTCGACAACCACTAAGGCGCCAACGACAACAACGACCACGAAGAGAACGACACCAACAACGACCTCCACAACGACAACAACGACCACAACAACACCAAGCACTACAACCCTCCCGCCGCGAGTTCCTTTCACAACTATGTTAGTTCAGTGGCATTTTACACATTTCTCGACAAGAGAAACATCCACCGCGCCGCCAACGACTACAAGAAAAACAACAACGACCACAACGACTACAACAACCACAACGACTACGACTGCATCGACAACGACAGCTGCGGCTGCTGAAACTGCCAAGTCAACGACAACAGAGGCAGCCACGGTGCCGACACAGGCCCCGACAGTTAGTCCGACGACCATATACGATTATGATTGTTACTTCGACCTGCATATACATAGCAACTTGCATACGCATACCAAGACAACCACCAGGATGGTCAACAAAATTCCCAATACCAAGACCTGGAATAGAGCTTCCTTTCTTTGACAAAGTCACCAAGCCAACAACTCAAAGTACGAAATCAACTCGCTTTCCTACTCCTCCTCCGACGAAGCCGACGAAAAAGGTGACTAAAACTTTGGCTACGGACCTCGGGCCGTACACGCGTCCCACGGGAACAATCCCCACTGATGGAACAAGACCGACAAATAGAATGGGTAAAACAAGAGGAACAAGAAAGCCGACGCCGGCCACGGAGCCGACAGATACCGGCGACGACACCCACGGTGGAGAGCACACCACGGAAGGAGACGGCAATGTGCCAGGCCCCTTACCGGGAGGAGGCACCGACTCAGACACTCAAACCACTAAATCTGACGGAAGTGAGCCTGGACCGGGCCAGCCGGGCGGCGGCTCCACCGGGCCACCTGGCGGAGGAGGCACAGATACCGGCGGTGGTACCACAAAGGGAGGTGATGGCACCGCCACAGGCGGCCCAGGCGGCACGGGCGGCCCAGGCGGCACAGGCGACAAAGGCGGTGGCACGACAGGAGGCCCTGGTGGCGGTGGCGTCGGCGGCGGTCTTGGAGGAACAACAACGTCAACCACAGAGTCCATCATTGGCGCTGGCGTGGGTGACCCTGGCAAGGCTGTCAAGAGTGAAGGCAAAGGTGGAGCTGGTCCACTGGTCGCCGGCATTCTTGTGCCGCTTCTACTGCTCCTCTGCATTCTCATCATCTGTCTAGTGATGAAGAAGAAGAAGAAAGAGCCTGGAGAAGGAGACGAAGAGGGTGAAGACGGTGAAGATGGAGAAGGAATGGGCGCTGATGGAATGGGTGGCATGGGCGGCGGAGCTGGCGGAATGGGCGGCATGGGCGGCGCAGGAGGAATGGGAGGAATGGGCGGCGGAGCAGGAGGAATGGGCGGCGGAGCAGGAGGAATGGGCGGCGGAGCTGGCGGAATGGGCGGCATGGGCGGCGGAGCCGGAGGAATGGGCGGCATGGGCGGCGGAGCCGGAGGAATGGGCGGAATGGGCGGCGGAGCCGGAGGAATGGGAGGCGGAGCCGGTGGAATGGGTGGAATGGCTGGTGGAGCTGGTGGAATGGCCGGTGGAGCCGGCGGAATGGCTGGTGGAGCCGGCGGAATGGCAGGTGGAGCCGGCGGAATGGGCGGCGGAGCCGGCGGAGCCGGAGGAGCGGGTGGATCAGGTGCCGGAGGAGGAAAGGGCGGAGGAAAGGGCTTCCGCTTTGGAAAGAAGAAAGGAAAGGACGGTGGAGCCGATGATATCGATCTCTTTGGAGGTGCGATTGGACCTGGTGAACAAGATGCTCCAGAAATGTTCCTCCCGGGAGCATCGGGCTAATTTAGTAATTTTCAACTGCTCTTGCCGCCAAAACAAATCGAACGAGCATTGTTCTTTGACTGAAGCGCAAATCACAAGTGTTTATGCGTTACAATGTATTGTTCTTCGAAAAATGTCGACTAAATCGCTCAAAATACAGGCGCACCATGCAACGGGCTTTATTTTAGTGGGACTGGAAACCACTCAGTAGGTACACGCACCGGTAATATGTGAAAACTGAAAACTAACTATGCAATTAGTTAACGTTTTCTTTGATTTTTTTTCGAAATTTGTTTTGCAATTAAAATTAAACTTGCAAAAACCGAGCCTGCGTTAGGTAGTAGGTTGTTTGAGGTCAGAAATAGGTCACAAAGGTCACGAAAGCTCGAAGCCCTTCACTCAGGCGGGGGATGGGGGCGTTCTTGGCCACACTCACTATTTTTTCCTTTGCTTGCGTAAAGATGACCACCGCACGCAGCGGCACGAAGCTTGCTGTAGCTTATCAAAATCTATTCAGCCTCGTGTTTATTTTTATTTTTACCCCAAGTCACGCTAGGTAATTCAAGTTACATAGGTCACCATGCCTCTAAGAAAATATGATTCTGTCATTTCTACAGCATAGCTCCTGACTCCTACCTTGTTCTTATAGTTCAGTCAATGCGTCTGGAAACAAACGCGATGCCGGTAAACTGAACGTAATGCAAGGTTGATGTCCAAAGCTATTACAGAAAAACTTTTTACGCAAAACGTCAAATTTTCACTTCTGTCGCACGAAAGCTAAACAGTTTGTTCCAGGTCAAATCTGAAAAAAACATAATCAAAAACAATTTGAAAGAGCTATCGAATGCGTTTTTTTCGCGACGCTGTGTAGCCCTATTCGTTCCCGAGTTATGTTCCCAAGCTACCTATTTGCCAACAGTTACCAAAATAAGGAAAAATAACCGTGGTAATTTTTATTTTTGGTTGCTTCCAGTGACCTCAGCGATGACCTGATCGAAAAATGACCTGTATTTATCTTAAAGACCTTATCATGAGCTATCTATTGCTTTTTGAGACTTTCTCTAACTTCTCTTGTTTCTGAGATAGCCAGGTATGGCTGAATACCTACCCATCATGAGAAGTTGGCTGAGACCCCCATCAGGGCGCGTTTAAATTCAAAGCATGTTACACATATTCTCTGGTAAATTATGACCATATATTTCAAGTGCCTCTATTCGAAAATAAACAAAATGTGCATAGGCCAGATATATTTTATCATTATCCTAGTGCATTATCTCATTTCAACCCTCGCCGGCACAGGCCATTTTGCGTCCTTCGACGGCACAAGGGGGGTTGGTACGACCCCCCCTCGCGTTTGGCCCCTGATCGAGCTAGAGCTTCGCGGAAAAAACGAGCGTGTTACCCGTCACGAGAGAAAGCCGATGATACCCAATTTTAAGGTCCTAGGTCATCGGGTCACCTTCCAGGTCAGGTCAATGACCCGAAAACCGGGAAAATCGGGACCTGTTAGAAAGTCGTAAAGTGTGGCTTCTATGTGGTTTTCCGGGGTGCTGATCACGAATATCGTATTAGTTTTGATCAGAGATGGTGTCTTTAACCCGGCCGGGCCCGGGGGGTAATCCCAACCACCGCAGCCCGGGGGGGGGGGCGTTTTTCGCCCCCCCCTGTCTAACTCCGTAAATAAGGGAGCTACGGAAACAAAAGCGGTACCAAACGAAAGGTCCTTACGAGACGATTCTAAAGCACCTACAATTTTTGACCTCAGGTCAATTTTCAAGGTCAGAGGTCAAGGTCAAAGGCAAAAACCGGCACATGTGTAGTGATCTCAAAGTAAGCCTTCTAGAGGACGGCAGGCGGCATCAAACCGGCACAATTGGGTGTCAAACGAAAGAAGAGAATCTGAGGATTCCGAAAATGTGCTCAAAATCAAAGGTCAAGGTCAAGGTCACGCTCAAAATTGACCTCAAACTTGGCACTTTTTCGCACATCTTGCGTGCTAACTTTCAAGATGTTTTAAAATGTTTTGAGGCTTATCAGTTCCCTATTTGTGGTTCCTCTTACGGTACAAGGCTGCTCAAAGGTCAAGGTCACTGAAGAGTATCCCTGCTAGAGGCTATTTCACTAATTCAAGTTAGTAATAATAAATAAGACAATTTTGCCATCCGGAAGCTCTAAATGAAGGCTTAGAGGAAAATAGATGCCAGATTCGTGATCAGCGGGTACAAATCCATCATAAACGACCTTTCATGTGTCAAGGTCAACCAGAGGTCATTCGAGGTCACCTGAGGTCAACATAAAACTTGACCTTTTCCGAACAAAATATATATCATTCGACGCGGCTTGACAAGGCGAATGCGATGGTACCACTGCCGTAGCTCTAGGACCATTTTTGTCGAAGTTAGTTGCGAAAAACTAAAACCACATTTCGGGGTCGTTGACCTGACCTCTGACCTCAGGTCACCAAAACTATTTTTCTATTTTTCTCTAGGTCAAACGCTACACAACCGTGCTCGTAATTTGTCTTTATCTCTAAAACTCTATTTTTAGCAGCTATTTGAAGTTTGCGTCTGTGACGCCGAAGTTTGCCGTGCAGGGGTCTAGAAAAATGGACCTTGTGACGTCATCAAGGGGCTAGGTCCAAATTTTTTACTTCAGAAGATGTCAAATTGATGGGAAAAAAGGTACTGAAAGTTTCGCTTTCCTATCCCTAAGCGTTCGGGAGCTATCGCAAATATTCGCCAGGGGGGGGGGGGCGAAAAACGCCCCCCCCCCGGGCCCGCGAGGGTTAAGCATTTAGACCAGGTCGGGTCAGGTTAGGTCAGGTCAACCGGTAGGGGCTGCGACGGGTATTCGTAATACGTGTCAACCGCCTCTGACAGCTTCGTAACATGTTACGGAGGCACCAAAACTACTTCGTAAATGTTCAACTGGCTGCTAAATTCGAATTCAGCTCCAAAAACTAGCCTAGAAACATGTAAAACTCAAAAAAGTGAACCGAGGTCACCCAAGGTCACCAAAGGTCAATGACCTGACCTGACCTTCAGGTGGCCTTGACACCCACCCTAATGTATGGGAGCAACATCAAATCACATGTTTACATGTTCAATTACATGTAGTTTGTTTGTACAGTTACATTGTTTACATCAAATCACATGTTTACACATGTCAGGGTAGGTGTAAAATTGATCAATGCGAGGGTACTGAAATAGAGTTGCAAAATTTCCCTACCGCACTACCGGCATGCTGGTAATTTTTCACTACCGCAGGTTTTTTCGTGGTATCTGGCATGTCTTGCCGGTAGCATGCCGGTATTTTTGATTTTGCACACAAAAAAATTATCAGCATATGATTCAAACTTTGGACACTAAGAGGCGATTGAATTGTAATAACAGCAATCTTAGCCACTGCAAAATACATTTTGTGGTAAAAGTTCCATATGCCGTATTGAAATTACCGCCAAATTACCGGTATGCCGGTAATTTGGCGGTTTTTTGCTTGGGGCGTGGTAGCATGCCGGTATCCCAGAAAATTTTTGTGGGGCGGGGCGGTGCCGGTAGCAGCCCATTGGGAAAACTTTGCAACTCTATACTGAAAGTTTCGTCGCGATCGGCCGCTTTTTACGCGAGTTATTTGCGAAAAACCTTAGGAGGGGTTGAATCAACCCCCCCCCTGTGCCGGCGAGGGTTAACCCTCGCCGGTATGGGGGGGGGAGGCGAATGGACTCCCCCTCGGGTTTTCGCAAATAACCCGCGTAAAAAGTGGCTGATCGCAACAAACCTTTCAGTACCCCCGCGTTAATCCATTTTACAATCCTGAAAATTCCATGACCCTGACCGATATGACCTTTGACCTGTGACTTACTTTTCGAGACCATGTTTGGCCGGAATCGCAATTCGACGTATGTCGGCTCGCATTAGCCGAAACGATTAGGGTGGGAGTCAAGGTCACCTGAAGGTCAGGTCAGGTCAGGTCATTGACCTTTGATGACCTCGGTTCACTTTTTCGAGTTTTGCATGTTTCTAGGCTAGTTTTTGGAGCTGAATTCGAATTTAGCAATCATTTGAACATTTACGAAGTTGTTTTAGTGCCTTCGTAACATGTTACGAAGCTCTCAGAGGCGGTTGACAGTTGACACCAACTACGAATACCCGGCAAAACCCCTGCTAGTTGACCTGAAATCACCTGACCTGACGTGGTCTAAATGCATGAAGACAGCATCTGTGATGAAAAAGAATATCATAATTCGTGATTAGCACCCCAAAAAGCCCTATATCAGTCTTACTTTACGACGTTCTAACAGGTCGCGATTTTCCCGACTTTTGGGTCATTGACCTGACCTGGAAGGTCAACCAATGACCTAGGACCTCAAAGTTGGGTATCATCGGCTCTCTCTCATCACGGGCAACACGCCCGTTTTTTCCGCGAAGCTCTACCTCGATCAAGGACGAAAGGTCCAATGTTCGCGGCTTATACGTTATGCGTTATGCTTTAAACGTTACCCCCTAATACGTTCGCGGCCGGCAAAACACCAATACGGGCCAGGGTTAACAATATTTAAATATAATTCAAGTCTAATATTTCTCATTCTCTATCGGGCTACACTATGTGTTAAAGTTAATATCAGATGAACAATCAATTAAAAGCCAACAGACAACAAAAAATCGAAACCGATCCCCGGACACTGGACGGCCAATCCATTTCACGCTTATCAACCGTTATTACTATAGTTGCGTTTACACAACATTTTTGTCGAAGCTCTAGCCCATTTATTTTGCGATAATTTCGATGCGATGATCTTTGTATGTTTAGAGGGGATAGTTTTGTAAATTGTGAAGCACCATTGGCATATTTTGCAACATCACGGGCAGAGCTATAAACTTGCAACAATCCCTATGTAAACGGGGCTATTGTTAGAATACTGCGGAGCAGTCCCACCCCGAGATGTTTCGAGGACCGCAGTCGCCCGGTCGATGACATAGGGCTCCAGTTGGCAATGGTGTTTATTTATTTTTGATGGATGTTCTATGGTCGTGTGTGTGTGTGATGATGATTTGGTGTTTTAGGGCGCACCAGCAACGAGGCTATATGGGCTCTATGGTCCAGCAGAGGAAGGGTGTGGGGGCTGGAAAGTTGGAATTTCTGTCTACAAGGGGTTCTCAAGCGCTGCAAGAAGAGCATTGTTTTTTCTTTGCTGAAATTGTACAGCGCAGCTAGTAAAACACTACTCGTTAGAATTGTGCCTTTCTCTTGAAAAACAAACCTTATTGTCTCGGACAATTTAGTTCAGTGTATTATATGAAGGTCTAAGGTAAGGTCAGGCACATCACATTGCAGCGATATCACGTTTAGATATCGATCGGTATTGATCTCGATATGCAATCAATTTTCTTAACACAATTTTCACGGTGGTTGTTGCTGACGAAATCATAGCACAAAGAAAAGCCTTATCATGTCGACAACGGACAATCTATTTATTTTGGCTCGACATGGACTCAGGACTTATGTCTGCAGTGAGGACCGGCACGGAGATGGTGCCAAGTCCCGGCATTCAGGCAAAGCGGCCTACCGGCCCAGTGGGTGCCGACTGCCGAGTGACAGAAAACAGCGGCATCAGCATCGTCACACCCCTCAGTGGCAGCACTGTGGTGTGTTCTAGTGGAGAGGCTTGTTCGGGTGTGTTCTGAGTGTTGTAAGCTGTGCTAGCTATTCATCATGACGCCGTGATATCTACTCTAGCTGAGTTTGACAATACCTGCCCTTTGCAGGGGCCGATGGCGGCTGAAGCCAAGGTGGTGGTAATCGGTGCCGGCGTGATCGGCGTTGGAGCAGCGCTGGCCATTCAGCGTGAACTGCCTCGAGCGACCGTTACCATAGTAACGGCTCAGCTGACCCCACTCACAACGGGAGATGGCGCCGCCGGCATTTGGGGACCGCACTACGTCAGTGGTGACCCGATAAAGGTCAGGTCAAGTAGCGAGCGAAATACAACACCGCGAGACCCCGCCCCAAGATGTCACAGATGGACAGGAATCCTAGGACTATGTTTGATATATTTTTGATTTAACAACTAATTTTGGGCTAGCCGTTGAAATAAGAATATGTTCATTTATGATTTATTTCCAATAACGCAATCATTTCCATGCATTGTTACAGGACCCGGAAGATGCCGATTTTTACCTAAAAAACAATTGTTATTCTGTCAACGGTAATAGCAAAACAACGGTAACAACGGACTTGTTGCTTATAGCTACCAATACATAAAGATTGATATTCATCGCTCACGGGTCAGGTGCCTTTTCCTAGGGCTGAATTTTATAACTCGGACTTCTTAAAGGGACCCTCCCACCTTAACATTAGATTTGAGTTGAGATAGCCAAAATGGGGTCCCTGGCTCACAATTACCGGTTTCGGCACTCACAACATCGAGAAATGCCTTAAATCGGAAATATTGAATTTCAAAATTGCAGCATTTTGATTCAGAGGGGCTAATGCTTAGGAATACCCCTCTGAATGTGTGACGTCAGCGCAGATATCTAACGATTTGTAAATGTTTGACTAAAACGTTTTGTAGCACGCGGTGGTATATGCTATTTGCGCGCAACATCTGCCGCAAACGCCGCACTTCTAAAATAAAGTCGCTAGAAACAGCGGAGATCCCAAAAAAGTAAACAAAAGTAAAAGTCTAATATCTTGAAAACCGGTGAATATTTTTCGGTTAAATTTGGTAGATATTCGTTTTCGCTCTTTCTGAACCGAGCGACATCACTTTCATGCCAATTCATAAACTTTTTTGAAGGTGGGAGGGTCCCTTTAAAATGTAATCCACTGGACCTGTTTTTAGGAGAGAAATAACGGCATCTATAAGAATCCGGGACATGCCTATAATTGCATATTTTATATCAAAGTTCAATAAATTAAGCAATTTTCCAACAATTGAGCATTTTTTTCAATGGGCTACATCGTTCTGACGAAAAGTGCTTATTGTTATCATCAAACAGCATCTTTCGATTATCAAGGTAAATAATGATGAAGCGTTTCACTGGTTGCAGATCAGGGACTGGAGTCAGGCGACACACGACTTCCTGCAGCGTCTCTGGATGGAGGGCGAGTGCCCAGGAATCGGTCTGATTGCTGGCCACGACCACCCCGAGAAGGCTCTCCACACCACAGTGCCCTTTTATCACGAGGATGCGCCAGCCTCTGGGGACGCCTCAGCGCCAGAAGAAGGGAAGATGGGGTCGTCAGGGTCTGCTGCGCGGATGTTTGAGTCATCGTCGGATGGCAAGAAGATGACAGAATCTTCACAATCGGGTAAACTCTCTACGGAGACACCTGTTTCAGGTAAAGATAAGATTCATCCAGAGCTAAGATCCACTCCTTACGAAGGGAAACTGAGTCAGCAAGTTACCTTCTATGCAGAACCATCCAAGTTTCTCCCATTCCTGCTATCTGCCTTCAAATATCACGGAGGCAACGTCATCGTTGCCAATGTGACGTCACTCCAACAGCTGGCAGAGTATGACGTCATTATCAACTGCACCGGGCTGGGATCTGAAACTCTGTTCGGCGACACCACACTCCAACCCATTCGAGGTCAATTGGTGCGTGTGAAAGCACCATACGTCAAAAGCTTCCTCGCTAGAAACGGTTTTTACATCGTTCCGAACGAAGACGCGGTTGTTTTAGGCGGCACAGCACAGCTGAATGACCGACGCACGGAGCCGGACATTGCAGACACAGCAAGAATCGTTGCAGGCTGTTCGAAACTGATTCCCGCCCTGCGTGGGGCCCCGATTGTGGGTGTGTGGGTTGGGCTAAGGCCTTTCAGGCCCGGAGGAGTCCGCCTGGAGTCGGAGCGACATCTGGTGGCCGGAAGGTGGCGCTGGGTGGTGCACAACTACGGCCATGGTGGATCGGGTGTTACGCTGTTCTGGGGCTGTGCGCTAGAGGTGGCGGCGAGGGTGCGTGAGATTCTGGAGAACGTCACAGCCAGCAAGCTCTAAATATGGTGACCGGAGTCCGGAAAGCTGTTTCCGACGTAACATTGTTACCCGATGTATTATGTATAGCTGCAGATACTGCTCTAACCTGCTCGACTATAAAATAATCTGCGATCTAACAGGCAAGTTGACTACATAGTACATATGTGTAAACCTGCGGAATAACAAAGCTCTTCGTATCTGGGGCACTCCTTCAAGCACTAACACCTGCTGAGAGGTGACATGTATGACCGTCACAGACAACGAGTGGCGCTAGGTAGTTCTCTGATTAACATTTAGGTCTACTGGACCATAAGTGGCAACGCAATGAGCGCCAGGGGCTCCTGTTTTGTATATTTTTGATGGAATGTGAAGTGTGCCGATGTCGATAGACGAGCTGTGAAAAGGGAGATGCAATTACTTGGCCAATATAAGGTGTATGTATAGTGTATACCCAAAAAGTTTTTGACGTTCGACATTTTGTCATTTTACCCTGCCCGTACCGTAGGTACCGTTGTTGTCAGTACAACGGCGAAGTCCACCACAATGGAGCACATTCTGTCGCAAGTTAGATACCACTTAGCATTTATTTTCTCATTTCGATGTCATATTCACAGTGAAACCGACTAACGCCATGAGTATTGCAGTTACTTCGGTCATTGGGTATATTCAGTGCGTCATCAGTTAACATTTGTGACGGGCGCAATTATGTACAACGTAAATGGCTTGACATTTTCAAACAATTTGATATACAGTGATGCATAACAACGGGTACAGTAACAATAAATAGCACAGCTAAGGCACTTCATAGTTCATACACTTTTCGCAGTCAGCATTCTGCAGTAGCCTGGGTAGGAGCAATTCTAACAGCACCACTAAGGCTTCTTCGCCTTTTCAATACTCAAGAATAGCCTACATACATATCACTGAGCAACTTACGAACACATTTAACAGTACGACGTTTCTCACCTGCATGTTCAAAATACAAAAAAAATACACTTTTCGTTTTCTACTTTCAAACTCCGCTACAACTTGCTCTTAAGAGTGCCACCCTTCTTGTTCGCAATGCTCCTCCTCTTACCCATCTCCCCAAACAAGTTCTGCATCAGGCTCTGTGGCAGGGCGGCCATCTCCCGTGGCGGTCCAGACGCAGGAGCCTTCTCCTCCTCCTTGGAGACAGGAGCAGGAGGCGGCGGCAGGTCTCCAGGCACCGGGTACTTATCCAGCAGCTCCTGCAGAGCCACCATCTGCAGGTGGAAGTCCTCCTCCGTCATTAGACGGTGGTTGCCACGCTTCTTCAGGTAGAGGCGGACGTCATTGTGGGGCACGGCTCGGACGAGATCCAGACAGTTCTCCCAGTGAACGGAGTCGTCCTGGGAAAGATGAATAGTTGTCAGATTAGAAGGAAGAGTCGCCAGAGAAAAGACAACGGTCAGCTCAGCTGTGAGCTTCCGCTACTGTCCTCTCTCACTTCTTCTCTCGTATTCCTTAACCGCATGCTGTTTGAAAATTGACAAACACTATTCGTTAGCATTGTGTTTTTCAATTGATAGAAACGGCGCGTCAGCAGTCAGTACTGTCCGAGACGGACTATCTCCCTTCCTCTTCTCTTAATTTATCCGTCACTAGTACATCTGCTCGTTCTATCCTACTATCTATCCCTCTCTTTGCTCTCTTCCCTCTTCCCCTCCCATTCCCGTACCCTTACTCTTTTGTTCACACACCCATTCACCTTTTTCTGTTGTCTTTTTGCTCTGTCTTTCATCCTCATTCATCCCACCCTATTGCATTCTTTGTATCCCTTCTCTATCCCTGTTTCCTTTTAAATTCCTCTCTCACCCTCCCTCCCTCCCTCCCTCTTTCTCTCATCTTTCTCTTCCTCCATTCTCACCTCCATTGCATGGATGATCCGCACGGGACACTGCACCCCCAGCGGCTTGTCGATGTCAATACGATGGTCCTTCATTTCTTGTAGGAACCGCTTCGAGCAGGTGACCTCGACACCCCAGTTGGCCTTGAACCGAACAGCCTCGCCAGCCTCCACACGCGCTTGCGTCTGTGGATGTCAATTTCAGGTGTCATATTAGTGTCAAGTGCCAAATATCAAGTGACATGTGTCAAATGATTTGTTGTTGAAATAATCAGCACCCACAGATCGGTGTTTGCGAAGGAGGACCGGTGGAAACAGGTTTATGGTAGAACGAAAAGACAATGCAGAATAAATATGAACGACGGTAAGGTATTTCGAGACGAATGTTAATTAAAACACCAGTGAGTTACGTGCTCGATTATGAACTCAATGCATGTATTCAGCTGCAAAGTCAGTCCCTTCAAAAGCCGATAAACGTCTTGTTAATGATGCCTGCGTTAAGGAATGCAGACCACAGTGCGTGGCAAGAGTCCCAGCACTCCCCAAAGTCACAAGATGCCTGAGGTGACAGGTCTGCCTAAGGTCACAGATCTGGCTGAGGTCACAGGATGCCTGAGGTCTCAGAATGCCAGAGGTCACAGGACTGGCTGAGGTCACAGGACTGGCTGAGGTCACAGGACTGGCTGAGGTCACAGGACTGGCTGAGGTCACAGAGATGCCTGAGGTCACAAGTCTCCCTGAGGTCTCAGGACTTCGTGAGGTCACAAGGCTACCTACCTCAGGGTCCAGTGACTGCAGCAGCGTCTCGAAGAGGTCGTCGTCGAGGCCGTGGTTGACGGCAGGAGCCAGCATCAGGATACTGTGGACCCGCTCGGGATATTTGGCGGCCAGCATCAGCGACATCCAGGCTGTGGAGGCGAGGGAAGGTGATGTGGTCAGACGGCATGTTCATACGACATGTTCAGACGACATGTTCAGAGGAGAGATGCGACAAAGGAACTGGGTATAAGTTATGCAACGCATCAGATACTACCTAATCGTACATTCAAATGTCGGAAGAGCTGTTACCATCTTTTCCTATCCGTTGAATGGATTAAAGATTGACCTATTGTTAAAAATACGGCGAGTCTATGACGGCATAGCTTGAGAAGGTGCAATTTAGATGGCATAGCCAGTTTCTGAGACGAGACGTAAAATGATACGTACCGTTTAAAAATAAAAAGTGTTCTTATGAACTCGTTTATGAAAACAGTAACAAGGTAGCGTGACCACCAAATGGTGAAAAGTAACATATTTCCCTTGCAGCTGAAATATGACATTTTCCACTGCACCAACAGCAGCACTAATCACTAGCTTAGCGGAGTCCCCAGCTCTCACCTCCATTACTGGAAGACACCAGGATCTGGGGTCCGGTGGTCAGATGCTCCAGGGCGTGGCAGGCGTCTTCGAACCAGGCAGAGAACGACACCTCCCTCTGCTGGGTGGTGCGGGACTCCCCAATACCCTCAGCGTCGTACCTGTGGACGGGAAAGGCAGTCAGTCAAACGGGTCTGTTGACTATAAGGGTATGGCATAGATTGACACATGAAGCGGCATCCAAGCAATATTTACCGTTACATTTAATGGTAGTGCTCTTATATGCGGTTTATTAAATTCTCATCGACCGATCTTGCGTGATAAGAGCGTAGTCACAATTCGACTACTCGAGGTCAATATGCTTTGCTCTATATCTGAGCTATATTGCAAATTGAAACGAAATCTTATCGTCTCATCCACGATAACGTCAGCGACGCCGGCTTGTGCGTTTATCAGGCTGAAATCGATAAGTAAGTGCTTATAGAATTATGTTGCCACTTTCCTCGGCAGCTTCACAACACATAACGGCATGATAGCATATTAAGAAAAATGTCGCCTCGCACTAACCCAACCCTCTTTCTCCCACTTCCTATCTTTATAGCCGATATACTCTACTCACTTCAGGAACGGATATCCGTTTCTCAGGCAGAACTCTTCGATGATGTTTGCTTTGGCGATGTGCATTTTTGAAAAGTATCCGGGCACATACATAATCCCGGGCCGACGGGTGCCCTCGATGCGACAGTAGGCGAACCGGCGAGGTTCTCCGTCTCGGTGAAGGCGACCCAGGTAGGCGTACTGAGTTGGAGATAGATTGTGTTTGCGGAAGTAGCTCGTCTTTGGAGCTGCCCCGCTGCCACTGGTGGTGGTGTCGACACTGGACATGTTGAACAGAATCTGCCGGAGAGAATCAAGCATAAGTTACGGTGAATGGAAGGCAATGTTTGCTTATTGAATTTGTTTTATTTGATAACATGCTTAAGTAAATAAGTATCAAAGGAAGATTACGCTTAAACAGCTAAACTAGTTTTGACTTGAGGATGAGCTTCAACGATTTACGTACTTCAGACTCTAAATGGGCTTCAAGCATGACTCGGTCTGAGATTGCTGGCGCCACAGCCACCCACTGATCAAAGATAAGATATCGATGGTGTGAAAATGAGACGGTCTGGCCACTTCAAACTCGAGTGGTGTATCCAATGGCCTCTGACTTTCCAGTTTTGAAACTAGGCTGCAGAACTAGGCCGTCAATCACGTGCACGGCTATGTCACATGCGAATCCCTCCCTCCCCCCCCACACACATACAAACATCACACATCCCCTACACGCATACGCGCCATGGGAAGAATGCCATCGACGTTTTACTTAGTTCAGTCCATACCAAGCTAGGCACTTTTATGCCAATGCCAGCAATATCTATCCCAAATCTTTGCCCGGTATTATTCCATCTCAATGCATCAAAACTGTGCTAGTTTTCAAGTCATATATACTGAAAATTTTAATTTGCTTGCTACGCCACTATACATTTAGACTATTAACTTGTTGCTATTTTTCTTCCAACCACATTCTGGACGAAATCATCTCATAATCATGCTGCACTGCAATCCTTTCCAACTCAACCTCATGTAATTTTATGACAGGTACGTATGCTAAAATCGTAAAAGCAAAATGCTTGCTATTTGACATACATCTCTTCATTTTTCTCCGACTATATAATGGAATAAAAGTAACGTCTACCACTTACACAGTCACATAATGTTTAAAACGTTTAACCTAGAACATTTTACATTTCGAACTTGGCGCAGAGGAATACTGGCATGCTCACTCTCTTCAAAAGTCAACACCTAGGCTGAAATAAATGAATAGGCATTTCGGAACGTTCCCTCTTGAGTTTGAAAGTTTGAACTGAAGAACTTTCGAACCGAAGAACGAACGTTTCGGAAATATATTCATTCATTTAGGGCTAAGCTTAGACTATAGAAAATGCCTGGTGAGCATACACTTATTCCTCTATTCTATTCAATCGTGCTGCTCATTTTAGTAGTTCGCCACTCTATAACATTTAATTTAGGTACCCGTATTTTCCCGAATGCTGACCATAAAAGTAAAAAATAACTTTAACTATGTGTAACATTGGTGCTTGTTCAAAGTGCAACTTAGTATTGTTCCATAGATAGTAAACGTTACGTTTACATACTTGTTCCTCTTCCGGCTTTGGACTATTTTATTCGGTAAACTCGTCGAGGAGCTGCTCCTTATTATTCAGCTCCGCTAAATGTTGACATTAGATGATTTTTCGGATATGTGATAGATGTGCTGCCTGATATTTTATGATCTTTGCATATCTATGTAGCAATTATACTGAAAACGGTTGTGGGACACCAGTAATTTGTGTGTTAGCTGGTAGCTCTCGGGGGCTACAGCCTCCCTCATCAGCAGTGATAAAAGGTTAAGACCTTTGCTTTGCAAGACCTTTGACCTAAGACCTTTGCATAAGATTCTGACCAGCCTAATTATGCAATTTTGATGCCTAAGTTCTGGTTCGAGCTGTCAGATTAATTATAGATAGGTATGCCATAATTTTATCCTACCCCTGTCAGCGCACCGTTAGGCAAAACAAAATGTAACGTTATCTTTGCACGACTTCCTGGAAGTACTCGTACCTTTATCTACCTTCCTCTCTCTGTAGTCGACTGGTGCGTGATCCCGCGAACTACGGAAGCTCCAAATGTCTTCCACTGAACTTGCGACCTCAACGTGCCTCTGCTGCGACCAGCAATGACACTAGCTGGCCAAATTTCCAATATATAGCACCAGTGCTCAGTCGGTAATCTTATCCGCGCCCCCGGCTCAAAATCAGGGATCTCCGAGACTATGCCCCGAGATAAGCTCCGAGGCTTTTTCGCTCAGAGTCATCGTGGCTCATTTCAACACAACGTGATCACCGGTCAGGGACGGCCCACGTTTACGAGTGGGATGTCCCAGCGCATCGATAAATTCAATGTCGTGTCTTCCCATCTTCAACGCATGCGTGTATCATAACAGAGGTGGTTGTTGTGTGTGGGTGGTAACAACGTTTGTAGTAACAATATTGGAGTGTCTTGGTCTCAAACAATTATGATGAGCGATAGGCTTTTCCCAGTTGTTGCTTCTGTGATCTGTTGCCAGCAGCGAACGCATCTCATTTATCGTAAATCGTTAATCGTTAATCGTTAAATCGTTATCAATTCAAAATAAACACATTAGTTGCCCGGCATTTCGCTGTATTTGCTTTCTCCAGGGCGACAAGCATTAAGAAATATAACAACATTTTCACAGGTTCTCGCATTTGTCATGTTTCCGGTTGCATGAGGAATGTGCGAACCTGTGAAAATGTTGCTATACATATTTTTGAACGTTTGTCAATGTCGCTCTTGAGGAAGCAAATACTGCGAAACGTCGGGCCATTAATGTGTCTAATTTTAACTTCATAACGATTTAATGATTAACGATTAACGATTTAAGATAAATGACGATTTATAGTAGCGATTAACGAAAGGTCTCTGTAGCATTTATACCCACTGTCAACCTGTCTGTTTTCATCAACAAATAACAGTCACTTAATTTGATCACTGAATTAATTCATACGTAAGCACTAACTATCGATTGTGCTAATTGATAGGCACTAAATATCCATTAGTGCTTATAATCACAAGATAATTACAAAATATGGAAATATCATGCGAGACATTTATTATTCAGGAATCACGCCGGACAACTACTAGGCGTAAGCGATATCTATGTACCTTGCCAATCGAGTGAAGGTCGACTTGGCCACTATCAAATAAGTGCTGGGGATTTCCGTCGACACGACGGCGGAAGGTCCGTTTTTCTCTCTGGGACCATCGTGGGAAATTTTTATTGCCACTCTGCCTACAAAATGCACTGACGTTAAGAGTCTTGACTCTTGGCAAGACAGTTTATGTCATCATGTATTTTATGAGGTTGTCTTCAGAATGAAGGCAGTTGTAAGGAATGGAACGTAGGCTAAGGTCAAGCATAAACAACTTCCTCACTTCACATACCCTGGCTCCGAAAATCAGATGACTCAATACAGTGGATGGCCCTCTGTCAAGCTCACTCTCTTTAGCTTACGATATTTCCTTTTAGTAGCTGTTTTGGATATGGATCGTTTTCGCTCCCAGACAGCTTCCCCAGACACCCCCCCCCCCACCCAGACAGCCACAGTCTCGAAGACAGCCACGGCAGACAGCTGCTGAGTGTTATCCATACTTTATTTGTTTGTTTTGTTGGGTTAGGCCCTTTTGGTCCAATGAGACCATTTCAGAGCCGGGAGGATGATAGGATATAGGGGGAGACATTGTTTGTTTGTTTTGTTGGGTTAGGCCCTTTCGGTCCAATTAGACCATTTCAGAGCCGGGAGGATGATAGGATATAGGGGGAGACATTGGTCTGGGGAGACATTGGTCTGGGCAGGCATCCTAGTGAGTCGCCGGGGCTGAGCCCGTCCAGAGGACAGGCCACCCAGCCCCAAGGCACTCACTGCACCCGGCTACGGGGTGCTGTTTGTTTGTTTGTTTGTTTTGTTGGGTTAGGCCCTTTCGGTCGACAAGACCATTGCAGAGCCGGAAGGATGATAGGAATTAGGGGGAGACATTGGTCTGGGCAGGCACCCTAGTGAGTCGCCGGGGCTGAGCCCGTCCAGAGGACAGGCCACCCAGCCCCAAGGCACTCACTGCACCCGGCTACGGGGTGCGCTCCCTCAGGAGCAGCGGTGCCGCTCCAAGGGAGCAGCCCGCATGAGATAAAGTTGCCTGTCCAGGCCGGAGGGGGGTTGCGGCGTGGAGGAGAAGGATTTCTGTATCCTGAGGATAGAAGCACGGAACGGTGACGGGGTGCGCTCCCTCGGGAGCTTGCAGCGGTGCCGCTCCAAGGGAGCAGCACGCATGAGATAAAGTTGCCTGTCCAGTCCGGAGGGGGGTTGCGGCGTGGAGGAGAAGGATTTCTGTATCCTGAGGATAGAAGCACAGAACGTTATCCATACCTATACATTTCTTTATCTACGTTTCATAATTTGCTTACGGAGCATTGCGGCGCAGTATCACTGCAGGCGCTTTGCTGCTGCCATCTATCGGTAGGATGGAAACCTTTCGATCATTGCGGCACAGCATCACTCCAGGCGCACACGGACGAATTGCATTGATACGAATACGGACGAATTGTTGACGGCTTATTAGGATTATGTGACTTCTGAACTGACCAGTTCGGACAGTTGCGTTGAAGAATGACGTGATTGTATCGTTTAGTTCAAGTTCAAGGGAGTGACGCGTGCGAGGGAGATTTTATCAATAGACGACAAATCATCTAATTAGGTATGACTAGTCTTTTCTTACAACAATCCGAACTTTACAGATCATCACTAGCTTTGACTTTTGAAGGTCAAGCATAAGTTCTTATGGAGGAGACCTCACTTTTCACGGTTTGTCCCATTTCTTATCTTCGTCTCGACAGGCACGTGGGTTATCAATGGTAGGTGTGGGTGCGTCACGTTTTTCCTTCCCGAAATCCTGTCGCCCTCTCAGCGGTCCGTCGCTTCCATCCTCAGGACATTCAAATCGTTCTCCTCCATGCCTCCACCCCCTGCTCCGGGCTGGACGGGCAACTTTATCCCATGCGGGAAGCTCCCCTAGGAGCAGGCCCGTAGCCGGGTGCAGTGAGTGTCAGGGGGCTAGTCGGCCTGTCCTGTAGACGGGCTCAGCCCCGACGACTTACCAGGGTGTCTGTCCAGACCAATGTCTCCACCTAACTCCCATCATCCTTCCGGCTCTGAGAGTCTCATTAGACCGAAAGACCCAAAGCCTAACACCAAAACAAATAAAAATGTCGCCGTCTTACAGACATTATGTCGACTATCTTTGCCCCCTTTTCACCAACTGTTCCCTCTCCAAGACAGCCCCTCCCCCGAAAATCCCCCAAACATCCATGCAGCAGTGTTACAGACAGCCTCCCCACATAGCCGCACACAGTCTCGAAGACATACCGTCATAACCTAACGCATATACTATGGCGTCGGCCTTGTATTCGAGCACAGTATAGATAAGACCTTGGAGTATCAGCGGGTAACAGACGCGTATATACTGGCGGTTCTAGGAGCGGGGAGGGGGAGGCGAATGGGGAAAACGCTCCCCTTGCAGTACCCGAAATAGATGATTTTTAGTTTTTAGATTAGAAATAATTTATCAAACTTTTATCAGGAGCAGCTTGCTTTAAATTGCACGGCACTGGTATTGAATCGAAATCCGATTATATTTTTCATACAGAATTTTGAGATTTTCAGGCATGCCCCTCAGCGTTCTAGATCACCTTTCTGGATCCTCCTCTGAAGGCCCACGGTGTCCCTGCGTGGTAGCGGTTATCTGAGAGGTGGCGTGACGATTTGTCTGGGACAAAGTTCGCACGTGTCGTCCATATCATGAAATGATTTGGCATACAGGACGCGGGATAACGTGGTTATCTCTATTCAGCATGACGCCAAATTACCAAAAGTGGCTGTTGTTACGAAAAAGAAAACGCTTTTCCTTGTCAGTACATTTTGCAAAGATGGTGATAAGTGAAATTTCCAGGCGCAATTTCCCGAATAGTATCCTTGCATATGTTTAAAATATGAAAACCGACAAGTCACTATTGTGTGCCTAGTGGCGGCGCTCCTATGCTCTGGTTGGCCCGGTGTTATCTGATAGCTTGACTCCACATCACGTGCGGTCCTCAGTCCTTGTTCTCCCTCTCACAGCCATGGACGGTAACAAGCGCATCTGCGGCATTAAAAAGTCGAGCATTTTCCGCAAAAATAATCTAGTTGAGACCCAGTTTGCTGACCTGGGACGGTCGGAAGATGGAGATTACATTCGACGCCTGGCCTACTGCAAGATCGAGGGGCCTCGCAGGCCTGGGCTGATCTATGTGCCAGGGTACTTTGCCCGAATGAACATCGCCAAAGCCAACATTCTGGAAGAGTTCTGTGCGATGCACGGTCATCCATTCGTCAAGTAAGTGGAGACATTATAACGCAAAATGATGATACAGATGCGGAATGCGGAAGGATGATGCTATTAAAAAAAAAAACATCTAAGCTTGCAACGATCTTTTAGAATTAAATTTTGAATCAAACATTTACGTGAAAGTTGATAGTCAATATTTATGAAATTTATGAATTCATACCACTCGATTATATCTCATGCTGATGTATGCTGCCTGCATTTTACGATTCTGAATGTAACGAACTGATAGTTTCCTTTATCTCCCTCTCTCTTTGTCTCTGCCTATTTCTCTTTCTGTCCCCCTCTTTTCTCTCTCTCTCTCTCTCTCTCTCTCTCTCTCTCTCTTTCTCTCTCTCTCTCCCTCTCTCTCTCTCTCTCTCTCTCTCTCTCTCTCTCTCTCTCTCTCTCTCTCTCTCTCTCTCTCTCTCTCTCCCTCAGGTATGATTCAGAAGGTGTCGGTCAGTCCAAGATGCCTGATTCGGCACAGCTGAGTTTCAAAAAATGGTACGAGGATGCCTGCTATGTGATGGAACATCTCACCGATGGTCCTCAGATGATTATATCGTCCAGTAACGGAGGTAAATTCGTCTGTATATTTGCTGGTAGTTAGATCAAAACGCCCACGTTTTGACGTGAACGTTTATAGAGTCGTGCCCTTGAAGAGCTCAACGTTGGCCTAGGCACCACCGGCTCATACCCTTATGCCAGCTTAATTACCAATTAGCGTATTGTTATTGATTGTTCGTTTCAGTATCAAGCTTGAATAAAGCTTGGGAAAATTTTGTGCTAATTGCGTCAAAAGCTATGATTGAAGAACCAAAGTCAATGCCTAACCTACCCCGACCTCCTGACCTAACCTAACCAGTGCACAATCAATTTTTCTGATAATTCGTGATGATCATAGATCATTTCACTTTCTTATGAGGCTTTTCACTCCCATACCGCCGTGCCGTTTTTTGCAGCGTGGATGGCCACTCTGCTGGCTGTAAATTATCCGGAGCGAGTCCACAGCCTCCTGCTGATTGGTTCGGCCGTCAACCAGTGTCTCGATGATGACGTCTTCGAGAACATCGTCTCCTCGCTTGACGAAGAGGTAGGAGACAAAGCTGGCTGACGAGGTAGGAGCGAAAGCTGGATGCTGATGTGAGATGTTAGTGAATGATACGAGACGTTGTGGTCGAGACGGGGTTAATGTCAAAGTTTTTTTTTAAGTCGAAGAAACCAGTTTTTACACTTTCTCGGCTTATCAATAGCAGTGTCCACTGATGAACTGCTTTTGCCAGGATTAGATGGGTGACTCTCAGAAACCTGGAATATACCTAGTGGGAATTGTTATTTATCCAAAATATTTTGCATGTGCGTAAGTAAGCAAAGAAAGACAGTCATGTGGCAAGGTTTGAGGCAGTAAGCGTATTTTACATCACCAGTTACACTTACATACTTACCTCCGCCTCTCCTCTCTTTCTTTCTTTCTTTCTTTCTTTCTTTCTTTCTTTCTTTCTTTCTTTCTTTCTTTCTTTATTTCTTTCTTTCTTATTCTCGTTCTTTCTTTCTTTCCTTCTTTCTTTCTTTCTTTCTTTCTTTCTTTCTTTCTTTCTTTCTTTCTTTCTTTCTTTCTTTCTTTCTTTCTTTCTTTCTTTCTCTCTCTCCCTCCCTCTCTCTCCTCCTCTCTCTCCCTCTCTCTCTCTCTCTCTCTCTCTCTCTCTCTCTCTCTCTCTCTCTCTCTCTCTCTCTCTCTCTCTCTCTCTCTCAGACGGCAGCTCGGGTACGCGATGGTAAACCGATCCGTTTCAAAGCCAACTGGGTGGGCGAAGTAACCGCCTCCAGACACTTCCTCGATGAAATGAAGGCGGTTCGACTGAACGAAGAGCAACTCGGTAGCATCCGCTGTCCGGTGCGGATCGTCCATGCGATCGACGTGAGTACTGAGTAGGACGCTTAGGGAAGCGCACAGTGGAGATTGTGGCTCATTAACATCGGTGTAAAACAGCTGAACAGATCTTTTTAAGGAGACCTAAGAGAAAGCCCGAATGAGATATTGTACGAAGGTTCGGTGGGGACTGGGGTGCCAGAACAGCTAATCATGTCATGCCTCGCAGTTCAGTAAGCGTAAAAAACGGGGTTTACAAATTCTACATAGCTGCGCTAGTGGAATGAGCCAATCTCGGAAGATAATCAACATCTAGTTGGCGCTAAATGTAACCTTTTTCATGCAAATACCCTCGTATGTTCATTGTTCATAGGACATCGGTAAGGGCATGGTTCTGTTTGCTGATATGCATCCATATCCACATTCCACATACTCGTATGATAGGAATGGTATATTCGCAGATGTCATATCACGCACTGGGAATATGTCATGTATGATGTGTCATATGTGCTATATATAACAGATTTAGAATATGCCATATGTGATATGTCATACATGTCATATATGACACATCTTTGCTCATCTACCTGTACACAGATTAGCAAAGGCCTCCAAAACGTCAGACGCGACCGCCTGGTTTCACATGACCTGGTTTCACACTGACTCCCATCTCTCTCTCTCTCTCTCTCTCTCTCTCTCTCTCTCTCTCTCTCTCTCTCTCTCTCTCTCTCTCTCTCTCTCTCTCTCTCTCTCTCTCTCTCTCTCTCTCTCTCTCAGGACACCTCTTCCCGTTGGGAGAACACCATTCAACTGATGGAAGCCATCGGGCACGATGACGTCCGCATCTACCTCAAGAAGCGGGGCAACCACCGCATGCTGGATGATGAGGACCTGCACCTGCAGATCAGGACGGTGGAGGAGCTGCTGGAAAACTACCCGGTTCCGGAGGGTCCGGCGGGCACCAGCAGACTGTAGAGGTCATACGAGTGTCGGTAGATTTCACCGGAGGACGGTGGAAAGATCGATGGAAGTCTGTAGAGATCATCCATGGAGTCGCAACTCAATAGATCCTTTGGAGGATGGGGTTGAAGTAAATGTAGATGCATGTAGAGATCACCTATTGGAGTCGAATTTCGATAAGAATTTCGATAAGCTACATTATAGAATGGCGGAGCTCAATGCGGGTAGAGGCTGGTAGAGGTGTGTGCTGTATAGATTGAAGAGATAATAAACGATGCCGCTATTCGCTAGGCTACCTCAGAGCACAACGGTTCAGTCAGCGTGTGTATGCACTATATGTATGTACTCGTATATTGTATATGATATAAATGTTTTTAGGTTGACTTCGCTGACTGAAGGGTGACCGTTTCTAATAGTCATCAGGCGTGACAGGCTGTCAGAATTTCAGCATGCCGTTAATACGAGTTGTTCGGTTTCTTGCAGTGAAGCCTTCTTATTATGGGTTCAGTGCAATGTATTTGGTGTATTTACTATTTGCAGATATAGAATATCGTGTTAAGTGTATGCGTACTAGATCTAGATATGGTGACATACCTGTTAAGCTGGCGCAAAACGGTGGCGTAATTTGCAGTATAAAGCTTTATTGAACATTTATAAATCATGGCAGCAACAAAAACCCTGTTCGTGGTCATTCGAAGATTGTGTATGTGAAAGCCCTCAGCTTCCAACAATAAAATTAAACCATGATTACCTAGACATTTTGAGAAAGATCTTCGGAAATCGTCTTGTAAATTTGAGATGATGAAAGCCTTCACTTTCATGCTATCTAATTGTCAGCGTGAAATAAAACGCATATTCCTGGGAGCCTTTTTTAATTATATATGCCTACACAAACCCTTGCACAAACCTGAAACCAGGTAAACCGAGAGCAGTTAAATCAGACCGCAGTCTCATTAACGAAATGCCATGCGTCTGCCTTCGACATTTTTTTTTTTAGAATAGCACACGTCTTGCATGCATCCGCTTAACTTTGAATGACAGTTGACATATACGTTTTCGTCTTAGCATTCCATATGCTTCGTCATTCCTGCTGCATCGTCTCGGTAAATTTACTATATCACATTGAAATCCAACAATTGTAACGAACATACACTGATACACCTTCACTGTAAAGGAGTATGTGAGTGGCCTAACGGATGGGTGTGAATCGCGAGAAACACGTTTACATGTTCTCGACCCATATGGGGCTCCCAGCATATATCAGAGCATTGATGTATTTATCTTATAATGTATTTGCTGTACACATGTTTTCCCATGACACATGATAATTATTACATTTTCTCACAATCCAACACAACACGACAATAGATCACTGCAGCTGTAACTAATTCACAAACTAGTTTAACCCTAAACATCAGAAATCAGAATAGTTGGCCGTTGAGCTAATAACTAACACCGACAGTTATTGCACGGTATATACTTGCATTGGACCATGAACACACGAAACAGCTCTATCACGTATTCACTACACCTTGAGCGCTGCATCAACACCTTCTCCGTCTTTACCAAACACTTCGCTTTGCTTCATTATCCAATCTCCATTCTGTGTAGTTCTTATCTGAGGGAACTGGCTGGTTGACTCTCCAACATACGCATCAATACACATAAAACACTCCCATTCCATCTGGCATCTCTGACTAGTGATGTCAGCTCGCCAGGACATCAAGCCACTAATCTCTTCACCCTCCTTCCTATTCACTCCCGCACTTCAGCCTCCACTTATCCAACGGATCCCCTACGAATATTGTGCCGCCTGCTCGCCAAGTAGGTTCTTGGATACGTCCTCTCGGTCTGCTGAATGCAGTCGCATATAGACCAGTCCGGTCATCTATCCTACTCACGACACTGCTCAAGCTCATACCCGTGTTCACTTCTTTCTCGAGCAATTGACGAGCCTTGCACATCTTGTGTTTGACCTTTGGCTTCTCTTGTCAATGATAAGTTAAACTGGAGTTGCATCAATAGCTTGCTCTTCTTCCTTTCACACCGATGTGAAAAGGGGAGGTTGCTACACTACAGCTACAGCTTGCTTGACCTACAGCTTGCTTGATCTACAGCTTGCTTGATCTACAGCTTGCTTTATCTACAACTTGCTTGATCTACAGCTTGCTTGATCCACAGTTTGCTTGATCTACAGCTTGCTTGATCTACAGCTTGCTCTTCTGCTCTCTCTCGCCTCCCATTCCCGTCTCTCTCATGTCCCTCTCCCTCCTCTCTCCAATCACTCCCGCCTCCCTCAGTTCCTTCAGCGACACCGTCAGAGGACTCGGAGGAGCAGGAGGGCCATCAGGCACAGGATAACTATCCAGCAGCTCCTGTACAGCAATCAACAGCAGGTGGAGGTCCTCGTCCGCCAGCATACGGTGGTCGCCGCGCTTCTTCAGGTACATCCGTACGTCCTGGTGGCCGATGATGTCCATCAGGCGGACTGAGTTGTCCCAGAGCACGGACGAGTCCTGGAAGAGAGGGGAGTGTCAATGGTATCCCAGCTAAAAAGACATGATGACTACGAGTGCCGATAGAAGTAGAGTTTCCTCTTCTAACTACATATGTAGCACGCTTGTTGACATGTAGTTAGCTAACATGTTTATTGATCTTGAGTACCTGTATAATTCAATATTGATGTTCCTCCTTCCATTCTTTTAGAAACTACTTATAAAACACTATGCGTCATGCATTTAGGTCGGACTTGAATATAACACCAGCATTTCCTGTCCAAAGTTTGGATGAAACCAAACTGACTGCTCTTTTGGAAATGCCCCCCATTTACCTAAGAATTAACCGCAAACACTTAGCCACTGAGTGGTATCCTTGAAACAGAAATAGCCCTCTCTCCCAGCCTAAACTACATCGACGTCACTCACATCAGTGGCATGGACGATCCGTACGGGACACTTGATGTTATGCAGCTGTTCATTGGTGATGCGGAACGCCTTCATCTCATCCAGGAACTTCTTTGATCCTGTCACCTCCCCCACCCAGTTGGCTTTGAAGCGCATCGGTTTACCGGCGCGCACCCGTGCTGCCGTCTGAGGGGGATGACAGAATGGTAATAATAAATGCATCTGTACATGACGTATACCGGGTGGCCCAAAAAAAAAACGTTCCGAACTTTGGAGGCCTATATCTCAAATTCGAGTGCAAATAACGAGCCAAAATTTTCATCAAGTTTGCGTCACTTCTTTGCGCATTGGTATGCCAAATTATAACACTGTACCATCATTTTCAAGCCAGCAATCTTATGTTAAATTAAGTAAGACGTTTTTGCTTTTTTTGCCGTTGTTGAACGGTAGTAATGATTGGATTAGACGTACCGTCGTACCATGTTAGAAAAAAAATAGAAAAAAATAGAACACGTGAATGATACCAGCACGTGTGCTGTTATTTTGAATATTTTTGTCCCACTTATGTGTCAAATATTCAAATGCTAAGCCAAAATTGCGTTAATGGATGTCATTCGTTTCAACACAAGTCCTGTTTCGAGGAGAAGGAGCGGCACGGTGCATGGGCTACTGCTGATCGCCCTCCCTTCAAGAAGATCAAATAGTAAATCGACCGAATAAGGAAAAAAGCTAGAGGGAATGTGTCACCCTGAGGCCTGAACCATCAATGAGGCTAGTTGTCAGTAGCAGTCATGGCTGCAGGCCGTGGTGCAGAGATGGAAGTGGCCCGTTCACTCACATTTTTAGTAAACATCTGAGCAAAAAAGTGATTTTTACATGGCATGCTAGAAACACGAACCGTTTAAAAAGTAATCGACCGAATAACATAAAAATCATACCATTTGCTGAAAATATATGCCGCATTGACTATTGGAAGTTTCAATGTCGTATCTTTATCACTTTCTGAGAAATATCGATTTAAAATTGGGAACGTTTTTTCTGGGCCACCCGGTATGTAGTTACGTGCATCGAATGCATATAATCTGCATACGGACATCAATGCTAAGGTATCTTAGCTAATTAATTAGATACAAGGCCGAGATGGCTGAGTTTCAGTTAGAAGCATGGAAAATGTCTTCGGAAACTTGAAAATGTGTTTCTAAGAAAATGATAAAAGAATAGACTCAATGACTTCTTCGCTTAAATGTTAAAAATTGCGTTACTTTCGATTTGCCAGATCTCATATGCAGAACATATACGGCAAATCATCCATTTTCTCTCACCTCTTTGTCCAGTGACGCTAGAATGCCCTCGTAAATGTCATCGTCCATGCACTGGTTGACGCCGGGACCGATCATGAGTGTGCTGTGGATTCTATCCGGGTATCTGGAGGCCATCAGCAGAGCCATCCACGCTGTAGGGAGGGGTATATAGTGGTAGTTAGAAGGGAGGGGAATAAGAATGAGCGGGGAAGGAAACAATAGTCAGGAGGGAAGGGACGATAAACAGCAAGTAAGGAGCAAAAGTCAGTAAGGAATGGAGCAGTAGACAGCGGGGAAATGTTCGGCAGGGCAGGAAGCAATAGTCAGCAGGGAAGGATACAACTGTCAGCAGGCGCGTAACCACCACTGGGGACACTGGGGACCGGTCCCCAGTAACTTGTGGGTTACTCCTCAGTTTGCCTAAATAGCCAAATATTGTCTCTAAATCGACGTGAAGAGTAATATGTAGTCAACGGAAGACAAAACTATGGATGTTTTGTTTAGCCCCCGCCCGGGTGGGCCTCTCAGCCAACTTTGCCATGGTGGGGGGCCTTTTTGGCTACACCAGATTATCAGAAAGTAAGCAAGTTAGAAAGACGCAGTAAAGAGCAACATATAGCTCGCTACAGGATCTTTCAGTCTTTCAGAATAATCTAATAGGACATTTTTGATCAGGTCATCGCTGAGGTCATTGGAGGTCACCAAAGGTAAGTTTTTTACGAACTTCTGTTCCCGATTTTGGCAACTTTTCACGCATCGGCGCATAAGCCGGGAACCAATAGAGCTGCAGTGCTGCGAAAATCGCATTCGATAGCTCTTTCAAAGGTCTTTCTGAGTAATGTTCTAAGATTTGACCTAAGGTCAACGGTTTAGCCTCCAGAGGCAAAAACTATCAAAAGTTGGCGTTTTTGCGGAAACGGTTTTTGTATAACATTTGACTCCAAGCTTGTATGACGCTGATTTGACCGGCATCGCGTTTGTCTCCTCGAGACGCGTCGAACTACCTATTAGTTGACCTGAAAAGGTCAGCTTGAAAATTTGACCTCACGTCAAGATTACGGAAAAGGTCATGTTGCGTGTCATTCGATTCGTATTGCTGAGCTGAACACATTCATGGTGTTTTCAGCGCTCTACCATGTTTTTACCTAAAGTTATGGTAAAAACTGTTGGAGATATTTCATGACCTGAGATGACCTCAGGGACATAGGTAGAATGAGTCACAGGTGCAATTTTCCGGTTCAGTGTGTCATGTTTACCTGTCTCACGGTGTTTGAATGTGTTTTCGGCCAAAAAAAGGAGCATTTCATTTTCCCCCATTGACTTATAATGGAGAGGTCGCAAAATTGACCTGACATTAGGTCACCCATGTGACTTTGAGATATACGAATTGTTCATACTGATTTCCTCATGCAAAAGCGCGAGTCTCAAACTTCTGGTATGTAAACTGTAGGAATGACAGAGTCACAAAGTTTTTAAAGGCATGGTTACTTTACTTGACCTGATGACTTGACCTTATGTGACCTGGGGTCAAAAATTTCACACACGATGCGAAATTTAAGTATCATAAGCTATACCAAGTTTCGCGGTGGTGCGCGCCGCGGTTTTCCTTACACGCGCAAAAAAAAAAACTGGGTGTGGTCAACCCCCATTGGGCGAAGACTGATCCTGAAATATAATATTTGGTCTTCGCGGTCCTCCATGTGGTCCCCAGTAACTTCAGACTCGTGGTTACGCGCCTGACTGTCAGCAGGGAAATGAACAGTAGTCCGCAGGGAAATAAACAATAATCAGTAGGGACGAGAACAATAATCAACAGAGAAGGAAACAATAGACAGCAGGATCATTGACACTGGGTTGAAGAGTAAAATAGCAACAGTAGTGATGTCAATCAGAATCCCAATTTTCAGATGCCCGAAAAAGTCCAGGACTGATCCAGTCTTATATATGTCGGCCAGGCATAAAACGATAGCTGTGATTGTGCAGAAACGGCGCCAGAAACCACCGACTATTCAGGCTTCAACCCTTTGCATAACACGACTGAATGCGTGAAGACGCGTATAAATAATGAATGACCAATCATTGAAGCATCTCAGTCACAAAGTCCGAGACCATTGGCTCATGAATCTCAATCGGAATCCAAATTTCCAGACATCCAAAATAAGTACGAGATAAGACTTCAGTCATCCACACATAACCCAGACTCCATTGCTAGACCTTTTTCACATCAGGACTAGTTATCTAGCTAATATCTCACACAACCTGTACAACTGATCCACTACTGACCTCCATTACTGGAAGACACCAGCATTTGAGGTCCATCTGTCAGGTGTTCCACCACATAACAAGCATCTTCGAACCACTTTGTGAAGGAGACCTCCTCTACGTCTGGGATGACGGACTGACCGACACCCTCGGCATCGTACCTGTTTCGAAGGACAGCCTGTTACTGGGCTTGATAGGGGTTCTGAGGGAAGAGTCCCAAGAGGTCATTGGGTGTGATGAGTGATGAGGGATAAAAGGGGTCATGGTAGGGATCCGAGGGGCTACTGCAGAGTCTGATGGAAAGAGATATATGTAATACAAATCACAGATAGCTGCTCAATGATCACCGTTTAACGAGCATATACAAAGTCCAAACGGATTGTTTGCGTGCTGCTTCTAAAGGTTCCTCTATACGGTGAATTTTTACGCAAAACGTTCTGATGTTATCAGTTCCGGTACGTTGGCTGCAAGATCAGACTTACTCATATATCGGCCGTTTACGTGATATGGTTACCTACAATTGCATCAGTCTGGACTGCGAAATAAACAATTCTTTTCACTCACTTGACAAATGGTCGCCCGGTCCTGATGCAGAACGCCTCCAAAATATTCGCCTTGGCAATGTTCATCGGCGCAAAATATCCTGGTATGTAGATAATTCCTGGCCTCCGCTGTCCCTCTACCTTGCAGTAGGCCAGTCGACGAGTATAACTGGTCTGTCCTGCTGTGCCGAGGTTTGCGTATCGGGTCTCCACCAGATTATGCTTGCGGAAAATGGCTGATTTCTGCAGGCCCACGACGGTTCCTTCTGGGGTCGCCATGGTTTCTTCGAAGGGTGGATGCCTGCTGAAATAAAAAAGATGTCATGGAAGTTACGTGAGGATGTACCTACCGGGTGGCCCAGAAAAAAACGTTCCCAACTTTAAATCAACATTTCTCAGAAAATGATAAAGACACAGCATTGAAACTTCTAATAGTCAATGCGGCGTACATTTTTAGTAAATTGTAGTATTTTTTTTGTTATTCGGGCAATTACTTTTTAAATGGTTCGTGTTTCTAGCATGCCACGTAAAACTTACTTTTTTGCTCATATATTTACTTAAAAAAAAAATGTGAGTGAACGGGCCACTTCCATCTCGGTACCACGGCCTGCAGCCATGACTGCTACTGGCAACTAGCCTCACTGATGGTTCAGGCCTTAGGGTGGCACATTCCCTCTAGCTTTTTTCCTTATTCGGTCGATTTACTGTTTGATATTCTTGAAGGGAGGGCGATCAGCAGTAACCCATGCACCGTGCCACTCCTTCTGCTCGAAACAGGACTTAGTGTTGAAACGAATTGCATCCATTAACACCATTTTGGCTCAGTATTTGAATATTCGGCACATATGTGGGACAAAAATATTTAAAACAACAACACACGTGCTGGTTTCATTCACGTGTTCCATTTTTCTATTTTTTCCTAACATGGTACGTCTAAGCTGTAACAAATGTAATAAGTAAATAAACAATTTCTTCTTCTGTGATAGTCTGTTTTGGGACCTCTTGTTCGAGCCGTATAACCAACACGGTTTTTCTTTTCTTGAAGTATGTATTGCAAATTTGACGATAGAATACAAAAGTAGTAAACAGTCGGCCGAGACTTTGAATAACGATACGTCAGGCCACTACGGCGGTTGGCTTTCGAATGAATCTTTCACAGCTCCTGCTCGGCGTTCGGCGTCGGCCGCTATATTCAAACGTCATACACACACGTCATACATATAGATGTACGTCATATCATAGCACCAATCAGAAGCGGGCAAGGACAGGCGTCGCAGGTGAGGAGTGAGGACCATATAAGGATATTGTAAGTGGGCGAGGGGGCTGGGCAGTAAGTAGGTACAGAGGGAGGTGGAGGACGGGGTAGGAACGAATTTCGTTACATAAGCCAATCATCACTACCGTCCAACATAGGCAAAAAAGCAAAAAACGTCTTACTTGATTCAACATAAGATTGCTGGCTTGAAAATGATGATAGAGTGTTGTAATTTGCCATACCAATGCGCAAAGAAATGGCGCAAACTTTATGAGAATTTAGGCTCGCTATTTCACTCAAATTTGAGATATAGGCCTCCAAAGTCCGGAACGATTTTTTTTTTGTGGGCCACCCGGTATGTAACTATTCGTAAATCTTGTGAGGGTTTGTAAGGGTTTTTGCTGATTTGTGAACGAGATACGCCTATTCTAAAAGTTCTTAAATCAGATCTACCCACATACGAAAATGTTTATTCTGACGAACCAGTTTTCTTAGGCACTGGCCAGGATTTTGCTCAGGGAGGGGCCACAAGTCGTGGCCTAGTGTCGTACCCCTTCCAAAAAGGAAAACTCCTCGGATTAGGCCGACTATTTTTGCGGGTGTGGTGCAGCTGTTTTTATTTGTTTTTATTCTTTTATTTAACTTAATTCTATTTTTCGCTTTCAGGGGGGCGTGGCCCTCGTGCCCCCCCCCCCACCCCTTGGCTGCGTCCCTGAGCTTTCATCGTTTGACTGGCTCCGCCTTTACTGCTTCCGGTACTCAGTTTATTTTGAGTTAGATCACGGGCATTTGACATCTTCCAAATATGTTCGCTCCTGTCTGCAATGCATGTGAGAGGAGAGCAATAACGGGCACTGTTCCTCGCACTGGACGTAGATACTAGATAGTGTCCACTGCCAACGTCCATGGTGAACAGTGAACACGTCACTATGGATGGGGAAGTCTATACTCTATATGGACAGGCTCCGCGTCGATCAAGGGAAATGCGTATGACGGATAGGCTGTGCCGCCGTACACTCGTGCACTCCGGGCCGGCTTATCTCCACGAGAAGTATGTCGACTCCTCGTGTTATTTATAATTGTTATATCTAAGACATCGTAAGAACTTAGAAACCATCAATTGATTGAAACTGTGCTTTCGCAACACGTTTTTCTTCTATCCCTCCTATGCAGAAAGGAGGTTATTATCTTATGAATCGAGCCACTAAACAGCCTGAAAATAATTGTTCATTTCTCTTTCTAAAAAGTTTTTTTAGGGCCATGGAGGCAGTCTTGACAGTCACACTTTTGAGGGAGACAGTCGTATCCTAGATCAGGAGGGAGCACCATCTGAAAGTCAAGTTAAGCCCGGCAACAGCCTGATAAGCAATGACATGATGGCAACATATTGCAGTATTACATGGTACATCTCTGTTTCATAACACTCAGGCGGTGTGCAACAAGTATCATTGGGATATCCGACCACTTCATATGCCTAATGCTATCTAGTATCTACTTATCTACTATAACAGACTGACTTCTCCTTATCGACTTAAGAAGTGGGAAGCCCACCCACCCTGCACCCATGTCTCTTCTGTCTGTCAAATGTCGATACACGCCCGTCAATTGCTGGTGTCGACATCAGCACCACTTGTTGTAAAGTGTATGGTGTATAGGAGTTGGGCTGTCCCGTCTTGGCTTGGTCATATTGAAATACATATGGGTTCAGTGTTACACTACGACCACTACGTCCACTGTCGCAGTCGTTCTGCGGTGTCCTGTCCATCGTGCAGTTATTTCCTTTGACCCGAAATCAGGGGCGGATCCAGGAATTTTCGGGAGGGGGGGCGGCAAGTCGAAATAGGGGCGACCTGGCAATCCGGGGGCGCTCCATACAAAGGGGGGCGCCAAACCGTCAAAATCGGGAGCTAAAAGCCCGCGCCGTGGTAGGGAGCGTTATCGCGCTCCCCCTCAGGTTTTTCGCAAATATCTGAAAAAGGCTGTGCTCAGCGCCGCCATTTTCAGCATACCTTATCATGCATCTTTTTTTGCACATGTAAAAATGTCTGACGCGGGTGATGGAAGGTCAGGTCACCAGGTTATGCCAAGTGACCTAGCCTAAGAAAAAGTTCAAATCCGGTCTTCAAAGTTCAAAGCCGGTCCCGTAGCTCAGTTGGTTAGAGCGTTGGACTCCGCGTGGTGAGAGCACGCGTTCCCGGTTATGACAGTCCGGGTTCGAAGCGCGACGGGCGCTCGACATTTATGGGCCTCCTGACAGGTATGGTTGCGGTTGGTGGCAGGCCGTAGCCAGGCGAAAGCGAGGGGACCGGCCGTGCGCGGCTTTGTGCGTACGTTAAACTTTGGACTCTAAATTCTGCCATAGAATCGGAATTGCGCGATCGGAGGGTAGAGGGCAGGGTCATCGCAACAAGCTTCGCTTAACGGTGGCTCTGTCCTTGTGATTCCTTCCCATCAAAAGGTTCGGACTAAATTTGTTAAAAAAAAAAAATGCTTACCATTGCTATACCGACTGAACGATTGCTTTGAACATTTCAGCGATTGATGAAAGCAACACTATTCATGAAATGTATATCTCGGAATTTCGATATCTGTGACCTAAGGTCAGGTCAGTTGTGCGACGTCTCCATTAGTTAGGTAGGTATAATTAAGTCTGGGAGAAAACTGAAAGGCATCTCTTTTGGACGAGCGCCATTCTAGACAATATCAAGCATTGGGATACATATAAAATTAACACACTGAATAAGAACATTGCACCTAGTGTGACCACTCATTATGTCCCATAGGTCATCACATGTCATGAAAGGTCCGCAGCAGTTTTTTTTTAAAATAACTTTTGATAGATTCAAGCTAGAGCGATAAAAACACCTCAGCTGTGTTCAGCTCGACGATACGCATCAACTGCTATGCAGCATGACCTTTCCTGGTCAGGTCATGACCTTGACCTGAGGTTAAATTCTCAAAATTACCTTTCATAAGGTCAACCTTTAGTTTGTTCGACGTGTCTCGACGACAGAAACGCAATGCTGGCAAATGTAATGTCGAGACTCTCTTGAGTCAAAAGTTATTGCAGGAAAACATTGTTCGTAAAAAGGCTATTTTTAGAGAGTTTTGCCCTCTGAAAGCTAAACCGTTGACCTGAGGTCAAATCTGAGCACATCTTGCAGAAATACCTTTAAAAGGGCTATCGAATGCGCTTTTCTGCGGCGCTATAGGTCTATCGGTTTCCGAGTTACGTGCCGCTGCTTCGAAAACGGAAAAAATGTTGAAACAGGCAACATTTTACCTTTGATGACCTCTGGTGACCTGACATTCGACCTGACCTAAAAATGTCCCGTTTTGTTTTCGTCCTTTTTTTTGACGATCTTTCGAATGCCGCTTATCGCGTGTCACTACGCGGCCCAGGAGCCGAGTTAGACGAGGGAGTGTGCCCCCCCCCCTCCCCAGTAGGACACGGAAAACTCAGACCACCAGCACGGCACGGGTTAAAAGTCGTAGATGGGGACCGCTACCCTAGCAAAACATATAAGCAAAAAGGTGGCCTCCATTTACTGGTGCAGTCCTTCTTCTCCCGGTGATGCCCCCTCCTTTTTCTGGAAGCGTCTCACTTATGCTGGTATGCCTCACTTCCCGGGGGCGCTCAACCTCTGCTTGGATCGCCTAATCCATTATGGAGAGGCCCACTTTGCTTAAGTCGCCTCATTTCTTCCTTCTAAGAACGACCAATTTGCTGTAGGCGGCCCACTTATCTGGGACGCCCATCTTCTGCTTGAAGTGCCCCTCTTCTTCCTGATGCGTCCCACTTCTACTACGAGTGCACCTTTTCTGTTAGGGCGCCTCTTTGCTGCTGAGGAGTCTTTTTTGTACTGTGAATAGGGCGGCCCTCTCCTGTTGGGCGACCCCAAATTCTGCTGGAGGCGCCCCACTTCTGCCCAACTTTTGGTGGGTGCCCCTCTCTTGCAGGGGGTACTTCTCTTTTGCTGGAGACGCCACTCTTGTGGGGGCGCCCTTCCACTGCGGTGAACGTCTCTCTTCTGCCAGAGGCGCCCCTT